TGTTAATCAGGTTTATTTTACTGTCACATTTTCTACTTTATAACCACCAAGGCTATTGCAGAGATTTGTTTTGCTCTCAGACAGTCTGACAGACAGCAAAGCAGACCTACGTTTACTTTCAATACTGAACAGCACCTATGAATACCTTACGATGGCAATCTATGTCATTTATAACACATGTAGATCCTCAGTGACAAATCAAGTTATGCTGGTTCAATACTGCAAGTGTATCATAGACATCGCAATGTGTTTCTTTATCTTTTAAATCTATGGGCTCAGACTAACCTATTCCTAATAACATAGTCCTAACTACTCAGCCGCATAAGAGAAGTGCTGAGTTTTCAATCAACATAAAGCTAACACACATAAAATACATTTTAAATATAACCAAGATGACTTAGACAAGCTCTTTTTATTGTTATTAAATGATTTTTTTAATCTGCAGGCTCAGTGCCTCTTATCACCATCCTTTATGAGATCTCCATATTAACCACTATACAATATCCTACAGAACTTTCTGCAATGCTCCTGTCAATAACGTCTAGCATTAACCAGAGAGGACATGCCAATTTTAGTTTGTCTAGAATTAAAACTAATATTTGAACAATCCTAAATCAAAAATCAGGGTTTTCAGTATCTTAACCCATTAATTTTTTTAAAGAACAGTACTTTTCCTGATTTTGCTAAGAAGGAACAAAACTCAAGGCTAGGAAAAAATGTAGATGAGACCTTTTTGTATTACATTTATTCACCTGATACTTCATATCAGTACATATATAGACATTATTTTTTGATAATAGCGTATTTAACAAAGAGATCACAAAGTGATGTAAAAAAAATATCAATTCATTGCTTTAAAAGATTTGCTCTCTTCATATTCTCTAACCTTTCTGTTCCTGAGAGCCATGGGTAGTTCTAAACTACAAAGATGTCCCAGCTTAGCAATCAGTACAGTGGATTACTAACTTTAAAAGAAAACTCAAAAGTATACACATGCCCTGTTCACTAGAAAAATTCACAAAGAAAACAAAAAAGAAACATTGTTTTTTATTCCTGGATATTAATCAGATTTAATGGAAATACTGCACAGAATGAAACAGAATCCAGATTGGATTTAAACCAGCCCTGTTATTCTCATCTTTAATAGTTCTGGCGAAGTGTCTTTCTGCTACAGGTACCTTGGAAAATTAATTGGAAATAAATTTCTATGAAACTGTATTGTTCTAAAAGAACTGAATTTTACCCTTTCTTCACACGGATGAATGTACTGAAGAAGCTGCTGAATGAGCAAATGCATGGTCTAAATTCTGAGCATTGCCTTTTGAAACACACATAGTACTTAGAGCAAAGATAATCTAATAAATTAAAAATCCAGTATTGGTAGTGGGCCAACAAATTGTGAAGTCTTATAATTCAGCAGTACTTTACCAGCCCGCAATAAATATTATAAATTAATTCACAGTTAGTCAGGGTATTATACAGAAATCAATAAATTATAACCAGACAGGTTAAAATCCATCCTTGAATTATGGACATCATATTTAGCAAGACTGCCTTTCACAGTCCTGAGGGGAACCAAAACTCATGAGCCTGGATTACCTTAATGATCAGCCCATAACATATAGGAATCTAGATAACCAAATCCAAGCAAAAGCTGAAAAACCTAACAATAATATGAATTTATTATGATTTAAAAAATCCTATGGGAAAGTATTAGACTGTTGACAGCTGCCATTAATGTTTGGTGATTTCATAATTTTTCCTTCTGTTTATAACCCAGAAGCATTAAACTCTCTCTCCCTAAAGACTTACACTCCAATCAAATGTATCTTGTATACATTGTCCTACTGGAGTCATGGGGAATCTCTCAGTTAAAGTATACAACCTAGATAGCAAAAGGCATTCAAAAATTATGAAAAAAAATGTGGAAAAGAAATTAATCCACACAATATTACATTCATAATATCTTTGTTTAAAATACATCAAACAGAAAAATTCATATAGGTGGGAAATTCATTGTGGCTGTTCCTAACTACAAAGCAGTATAAAAGTGCCATATATACTGCAAAACCCCTCAATCACTTACCATATCAGAAAAATGAGCTGGAAGAATAATGTTTTCAAGATATATAAAGGGATTACTAAGAATGAACTCATTAGGGCATTGCCTGTGAAGGTTATTTGGGAGAGAGGTAAAAAGGATAAGTGCGAACGGAATAGAGTTGAAACTCACTAAAACTGCTCCTCATTAACACATATTTCAAATTAATCCATTTCATAGATTGTAGACTCACCGCTGAAGTCAGTAAGAAAACAGGTGTAACATATTAAACCTGTGGCACAGCCAACTTCGTGTTGTCAAATGCTAGTGATACATCTGAGGCTTTGCAGCCTGAAGTACTCATGACAGACTTCAGAATTTGTCATATCTTCTTTGGTATTGAATTTATTTTAGCAGTCTTTGAAATAAACACAAACATTTAAGAAACTTGAATTAGGATCAGTTAACCATTGCTCAGGTTGTCTGTGTTCCATTGTGTAAATACTCAGATACTCAAGTATCTGGAGTTTCTCACATATCCTGTGATTTTGGGTTTGGTTTAGTTATACTGTAATTTTTTTTTTTTTAGCTGTGGTTTGTGTTGGGGTTTTCATGGTCCTTTTAGCATCAGGACACGAGGAAGTTGGTATATGATAGCTTTATTTGGAGTATTAATAGGAGGTTGCAATCATACATAATTTAGGCTATAAGCATTAGTTACACTAAAAAGAACTGTTGCACTTAGAAAAGAAACAGCGAATTCTCTGAAATCCATATGTAAGGTGTTGCTCTCCTTTTTTTTCCCATAATGAAACTGTGAGGACTCAACAGAAACTCTTTCCCAAGTTAACCAATAAACAGAATGTAGAAAACATGTCCCAAAGCCAGGTGAGATGAATTTCACACATTATTGAGCTACATCTTTTCCTGAGTCTGAACTTCTCATTCTTATTTTATAATCTACCTAATATCATCATCAGTGTTAACCTTTGCTTAGTAATCCTGATACCAACTATTTTGCCATGTGGAACTTGCTTTCTAAATAAACAAGATTTTTTTAGTTTTCCTTCTTCGTCTTGCTATGTATACATTCAAGAACAGGCCCAGCACTACAAAAAGGCTCAATTTCAGCTGACCTGACACCATGATCTCTAAGTCTTGTAATTTGCTTGGGGTTTTTTTTACAAAATGTTGGAATAAATTTATTTTTATCCAGATCTCTGGAGTTACATTAATTTTTACAACTTCATGGAAGTCACTACAATTGATTCAGAACATTATTTTTGAACTTTTCAGTACAACTTACTGCTGCTGATTTTAAAATATCTCACCTTAGAATCTGCTATTTAACACAGTCCCAAGTAGTAACTGGAATGTAAAGTACTTAATCATATCTTGATAGATTATATTTTAATACTGAATGACTTTCATATGAATGATTACTTTAATGAATATCATAAAGTTATTATTTTATCTAGTTATAATCAGTGACTCCACTTTTCTCCCCAAACTGTTCTTCTTTTTCTTTTTTTCAGTCTGTTGTTATCCTTTTAATAGTGCTGACTATGGAAACATTCATCTAGTGATTTTGGAAGCAACATGAGCAGATT